TCTCCCATGTCCCCCCAGAACTATCGGTCCCATTGTTTTCTCCTCCAGATTGTTCATTCAGCCTATCTTATTTAGACATAACATGACACCTGATACTTTTTAATTTGTAATTTATTCTTCCCCAGAGTCTTCCAGCTTGGGAAGGACATGAGATTCAGTTGCTGGGCCTGACCAGGTTGCTGACAAGTGCTTCCCAGTTACTCTATTTCCATTCATGTTGGGGAGGTTACATTGATACAAAAGTAGTGGGCTATCTCGACCACTAGGAAATACGGCACTAATCACAGCCAACCCCAGATTTGCTGGTTGGAGGGAAGATAAAGTTGCTCCCATCAGGCCCTTCAGAATTTGGCATACAAGTTCAGGGGTATAGTTGCAGTCTCGTGTTAAAGGATCACACCCACTTCTGGCAATGACAGCTACATCTCTACAGGTTCTAGGATAGCAGCTTCTGTCCTAGGACCAAAAGAGGTTCCTAGTGAGATGGGGAAGAACTGTACCATGGCATCTGAATCCTCCTGCTCCGCTCTCTCAGATCCATCCAGTATTTATCCTCCCTTTATTTCCCACACATTCAGGGTGAGCAGTTTCTAGAAGGCGTGTAACCCAATCCTTTATGTCTTTATCTCCCCCTGTATTAGATAACAGATGTTCCAAGAGCCCCTTTCAATTCCCTCTGAAACAATTACTATGAGTATGTAACATGGTATGTTCAGCTACTATGATATTTCTTGGCCCATTGCTGCACACTGCTGGCTCAGAGGATCTGAGGAAATGTAACTTAGTGGCCCCCAACTGCTACTGTATATTTTGTGTTCATCCCTAAGTGGTATTTGTGGCATCTGCAGGGATATGCATAGTTCAGGTCAGAGTATTCCTTTGAGGACCCATTTGTAGATAACTTGAGCCACTGGTTGGATATAATCAATCTGTTAGCTATGCGCAAGGTCTTCCCCACAAGGAATCTGCCTGTAGACTATTCAATGTCTATCTTTCTTGCTGACAAACAAAGAAGTCAGTATTGGTATATTGAAACTCAGAAAGTGCAATCTAGGTATATCTATATTCAGCCCATCTACTCATTGCTATAGCACCCTCATATCCACTCATTTCATAAGGAAACATGCTACATCCACTTAGTGATTACAATTGCCTTTGGATCTAGGAAGGAGATTTTTCTGATGGACAGCAGGTCCTACCCAGATGCTTCCTGAAAAGCCCCATAGTGTTTTCGTAGGTCCTTTTTCCATGCAGCATTCCTATAACATCTAGTTTTCCACTTAATGACTTTATAACCACTGCCTATGCATCCGTAAAATTTCAAATGTGAGTGTTCTCACTATTGTCTAATTCTTCATCACAGCTAGGAAGACAGCTTGCAATCCACTGAGTTAACTTGTTCTGACCTTTCTATAAGCCGGTCTCTGTGCATGAATTTTCCAGATCAAATGTCATCATGTACCCTGGAACTGACATCCATGGACCAAACACCTTCTGCTTGTCAGCAGAAGGTTGTTCATCCAGAGAGGACTACATGGCCAGCCCCACTATGGGACATGATGGCCCTCACTGACCCATGGCCCTGCAGGGGACAACACCAGAGACACAGTGTGGGAATTGCACCCGATCTGATCCCACCACATTGAGGCAAAG